TATATATATATATATATATATATATATATATATATATATATATATATATATATATATATATATATATATAAATAAAACCCAGAACAGTCACAATGATATTTACTTTGAAAAGTAAGTGCATTTTAAGTTCTTCCATTTCCAGTTCGACCTGAAGCACTGGAATTTTATTTTTAATAGTGTTAAAAAAGTTTATGTATGTGCACACTGTGGCTCTCAAACTGGGACATACCAGTAAATTATGGTGTATGCTTTGTGTGACATTATCATAGTTACCTGTACAATATTTACAACACAGTAGTTACCTTCATTTCCTAGCTTTGATCATTACATGTATCTGAAATGGTTTTGTTGGGTTAACCTACTACTGGAGCTGTTGTGTCTTCATTGAGATTGTAACACTGGGTTTACCCTAGGAAGGGGTGGTTGGTTTTGCACCAGAACAGTGCTGTGGGTCTGCCCTAAGATATGATGTCAGATCTTCCCAGAGATGCCACTGTTGGATCTACTCTGGGATTGTGCTGTTGGCTGCATTGCCTCCATCTTCTTTCCAGACCATATAGGCAAAGAATGTGCTGGCTGCATAGGTTAGTGTCACCAAGATACCGAAGAACTGGGGAGAGAAGACATATACACAATGTACCTGTCAAAGTGTAGCCATTTTGCAATCCACCCTTACAAGAACTGGAATAATATCCAGAATTGGATATTATTATTATGCTATTACTCCCCCTCAAAGGGGAAGAGTTCCTAACCTCAAAATGCAAAACAATGTCCAACTTTAACAATAAAAATGTATGAACACAGGACACATAACCTCGGTCCTCACTGTTGTTTGGGGAAAAGCGACGTTCACTCCAACATCTCACGCATAGTGTGAACTTATGAAAATCTGATGTTTGCATGTGTTCACGCCCACATTTCAAAAACATGTGGCTAGGCAAATTTACATCTCTGAATATCTCATTGTGTGCGTTTGTGTCAAGCATGGTTTTTGACTATGGCCCTTTTCTATATGAACATAAACATTAAGAACAGTATATTAAAATAACTTAAATCGTACTTCATTCATATTTCGTATTCATATTCCAACAATTAAAAATTCCGTTAACAGTTGGCCTGTAAAGATCTCTTAGGACTTTGCTAAAATCCAGGCAGTGAACTAAAATGGTAAATATGTCCAGTATTACAATCATCTTTCAGTGATTTCATTTATAGTTCCAGAATTTTTCTAGCTCTTTCTCAATGCATGCCTTTCTCTCCACTGGCTGGAATGAGGCCTGAGGTGGGGCCTCTCTGAAGCTAAAAAGCTTCTTTGTTATTGGGCGACTCAGATAAAGCAGTACCTTGGAAGATGTTTGCATTCCAGGTGTGTCCAAGTAATGCTTTGTGAGAAATGACCTGCTTTTATATGAATGATCAGCTTTGCATCCTACCTACACACCTTTGTTTAGATAACTGTGAGCTCATTTTCCTTTAGTTTTTCATCACTGCATGTGAAACATTCCCAAGTGAGTGCACCTAGAGGTTTGTGAAACCAGTTACAGTCAAATGAAGGTTTTTAACTGATTCCCATCACCTGGATATGGGTTTCTTTATCTGATAAACACTGGGAAATAGTGGATCAGGAAATTCTAAATTTACTGAACCTTCAGGTAAAACTTCCAACACACTCCTATAAGTGTGTTTTGTAACATATTTCTGATTACCAGCCTGCAAATATCACACAGGCAACTTGGAGACCAGGTGTACCAGACTATCCAGTCTTTCCAGTGGTAGGGACACCTCACTGGAATTCATTCACTGGCAGATTCATTCTGTAACATCTTTAATATCTCACTCTTTGAAAATTAAAAATTGAAGTTCCTTCAAAGTTCAATAACAGAACACTAAAAAGTATGACTCTACAAGTATTTCTTAACTTTGGAAGATAGCTAATTAGCATTTCATAGCAGTTAACAGGACAGTGTAGTCAGATGACAGATGACAGACCGGTATTCCTAAATCTGTCACATGATCTGGCAGGCTGTCACATGGCCAGGTTGAGCACCGCATACACTCACCGCTGCGGCAGCCAGGTGGTTGTAATCCGTGCTTCCTGAATAGGGTGTTACAGATGCAGCGTTGGCTATGAAAGCCGTGAGGTACAGCACCGTGGCAACACCGTTAAACACCAGCACCTTCACAAACACAACAGGAGGTTATTCATTACAAAAACCATTCGACCATTTAATTAAGACAATGGGAACGTTACTTTTACATCCACAGTTTTCAGAAATTTGGATTAAGACCATTCTTACAGAAATGACTGTGATGCACCAGTGTTTAGCTGTGTGTATGGTTTTTGGTATGTGATAGTTATGTGTAACATATTACGTAGCTTATGTATTCTTAATTTGTATTTTTCTATTATTATTATATTTTAGGCTTAAATAAAGACTGAATGTAGATCATTCTGAGAAGTCTCTGTTTCTGCAGATTATGTTTGTTAAGTATAGGGCACAAGTACCACTAGCTGCCAGGGCACCAAGTTCAATTTGTGCTGGAGGCCAAGGAAAAGGATCCAGAAAAGGACGATGGTGAGGATCCAGAGAATCACACTGACGAACATGACCCATCCATAGGCTGAGATCAGTGTTTGCTGGGTGCTGGAGATCAATGCCCACACCAGCAGTCCCAGAACCTGAGGAGAAAGAAACAGAGAGAGGCCTTCAACAGACCATAGAATCCCAGCAGTGAACGCAGTTATGTGAGTGGAAGGGTCAGAGATATCGCTTGAGTAGGGTAAAGTCAGACAATGTTTTTTTGTACTGATAATATGACACAGACAGCTAGCTCTCTGCTACAGAATGCATTCGCCAGAACCTGTTTTCCCTGTTTTAGTTACCTGTGTGTTTCTTGCGCCGAATCTACTGCGTTTTGTTTTTGTTCATCTTTAATGTAATGGGCTTTGTTAAGCTCATTACCATTCTGTCCTCCCATTCCTAGTCTTACAGTGAGACACAAGGCTGGCAGCAAATGTCTTCATTAAGGCTGGAGAGGCTGGTCTCATAAACAGTTCACCTGTGATACTCTAGCACACCTGTGATACTCCAGCACATTGCTCTACAATGATCTTTAATAGGGGATCAGGTTTCTATGCACTGTACTCCTACGTTCCACAGAACTGACACCAAACACCACTGCTATCAGCAACCTTTTATCCCAATTTGCAGGTGGCAGAAGCGAGGGGGGGGGGAGCCCTGTGTGTGACCCGCATCCCTAGCAGGTGTTTTGTTTTCCCCTGTAGCTCCTCTCTGACCCCAGGGAAAACTGGGCTGGGTCTGTTTGGGTTTATAACAGGGTTCTCAAAGGATTCTTTATTTGACAAAAATAGTACTCTAAATAGCTCACAAAGGATTATGTAAGACACTTATGACATTTATAGCTTATTGTGGCATAAATATCAATATACTGTTTTATGTCATGCCCTTCTCAGTTGCCTCGTTTCCACCCATGCAGTGGCGGAGCTGGTGCCAGACTTTTTCCTTATCTGCAACTAGTTCCGCACGTTTCCACCGCAAAAAACTGACCCTGGGCCAGAAAAAACAGCTCCGGCACAGTACCACAGAAAAGCTGGAACCATGACATCAGTGACAGTACGACAGACTATTGCGGCCATACCTTCCACATACCTGGAAATTTTAATCCATAAGTGATATATAACGTTCCAGCAACGAAACAACTCGTTTGGTGGGAATGAGGCAAATGTAGGTTCCCCAAAGCTGAACTCCATGTAACTCAATGACTTCCTGTTCGCTTTTCCATCCCAACCTTAATGTGACTCTACGGTATGCATATTTCTTGCTTCTAATATCAGACATGTCAAAGCCAGCTGGGAGGATCTAAGACCTCCCTGAGGCCTCACCTCAGTGGGATGGGGGAGGTAGAGCAGATGGCTTCCTTATGAGATACGTTATCCACCTCAGCTGACCCCTCTCAATCTCAAAAGGAGCAGAAGCTCTATCCTGAGGTCCCACTGGATCTCCAAACTCCTTACCCTGTCAAGGAGGTGAGGCAAACAACTCTTTCCATAAACTTAATTTTGGCCACTTGTATATTTACAGCCTTGTTCTTCCAGTCAGTTTCTGTCACAAATCAAGACCATAGACGGACACTCCTAGTCTATGTTTCAGGAAGCTGTCATTTGCTAAATACCACGAGACAAACACCACGAGTGCTAAAGTCCATTATGACTTCCCATCGCTGAAATGCAGGCTGGTCTCACTGTTTTCCTCGATGAGTCAAAATACAAAGGGTCGTCCACACTGCTTGGTATCAGATCGTCAGAAAGGAATGTGTTAACGCAACCTTTGACAAACGCGTGTAGACTTTATTACTCAGACAGATAAAATGGGGTTTAGAAAGTGTAACAGAAAGATCCATCAAAAACAGATAATGGTGGAAATGATGTATGAGAAGCTCAAATATATACTGTGCAGCAATTAAACTAACCACTACATATGACAGAAACAACCTACCGATATGAGTCTCACCGTTATATGTCACACAAGCACAGGCTACACAAGTTAAACCCACCACTACATTAGATACAAGTATAATTGGTAACACTTTACTCGACAGGGCACAAACACTTAGTAATAACTCAGTTACTACTGAAGTACAAATTATGAACAAATCGTGAACAAATACATTATTACTTGAAATTAGATGTCACAATTAATTAATGATGAACAAACATGAGATCAGTATTTCACTTGTTTTATTCATGACTTGTTCCTTTAGTAGTTCCTTAGTAGTTTCTTCAATAGTTCACAAAGGTTTAGAGAATTAACAGATATAATAACAAATGTAGTAACTGCTTGATAAAATATGCATCATGATTCATTAATGATGAATTAACATGAGATCAGTATGTAACAGACTCAGTTTGTGGTTAATTAATACATAAGTAATAGCATAATACTATATTATTTGTGCCCCATCAAGTAAAGTGTTACTGTATGATCTTCTAGTGGGTATAGTGTTGGAAGTAAAAGAAAAAAAATCCTGCGCTACTGAGGCTGGGGCCCTTAAAGTGTGGGATTAGACCCACTCCTACTGCCCACCGTAAGAGAGAAAAAATATGAAGCATCAGTTTGACTCACAATTTCCACCAGCATGAGGATGGCTGGAATTGTCCTGATGAACAGCATATCCATGGAGACATAGCGAGAAGCAAAGCCCAGGACCCTGCCCCCTCCAGCCCCGTGGGAAGAGGGGGTGCTCGTCTCAGTATTCACCTTGCCAGGAAAATCTGCCATGGTTTTCTGCTCACCTGGAGGGTCCCTGTTTTACTTCACGTAAACAGACCAAAAACCACGCTGCTCTTCCTGATTAAATCCGCTCACATGGAGGAATATGCAAACTCCACCACAATGACGCCCAGTCTTAGTTCAGGGGACAGGTATTTCTCTGGTTCCCACTTTTCCTTCTTTTCTTGCTCTCGCTGTCGTTCTGCCAGCCTCTTTCACTCTCTCGCTCACCCCACAGGTTCTCCTAAAGGGTAGGCGGGACCAGCCACTCACCTGAGTGAATAATTAATGGAGCGCAGAGTCCTCCAGAAAGCGGCAGTGACAGACTCAGACCATAGTGCAGTCTGGGTTCATATTTGGGGAGAATGATCAGAAGCCAGAGCAGTATAAGGGCGGGCACAAATCTGCCCCCTACCACGTGGATCAAATATCAAAACCCAAGCAAAGCAGGCAAAAGGGCGAGACAAATAAACCAGCCAGGCAGGCAACAGAAGGTGCAAAACAGCCATTTATGATGTTTGATTAAATCCTGTAAAACAGTGTTGTACATGAATACTTGGGCAAAAACACAGCCCGAGTGAAACATTCAGGACTTCACAGAAGTCACGTTACAGAACAATTTTAGAAGATTTTTCATGTGGGATAAAATTCAGTTTATATATTAGTATATTATGACAAGGCCACTGGTTGAAATTGTAATGACACAACATAAATGATACTTTTTAAAAGACATGTCACTGACCTGCATGAAATTGGCAGGGGAATTTACAAGTGTCATGGTTTTTTCATGCATAGTACTAATAAGTTCTTTCTTGCTCACTTCCTGCAGACAATAGTGACAAGGAAATATTAGACATTAAGCACAGCCCACAATGAATCAAAATAAACAAAATCGCCATTTTCATACCTCATCTGCTGTTGAGAGTTGCTGAGCAGGTCAAACCTGCAGATTCTGGCTGATCCTTAGGCACCTTTTCCCCCCCAGGCCCCCCACCCAGTGCCATGTGCCTGGAACACCAACCTTGGTGGTGGCCTTATGAGCTGCCCAAAACACCTAAACAGAAAGGCAAGTAATGACAAATGACTGTTGATCCCAAACTGAGGGAATTTACTTGTCACAACAGCCTAAAGCAAAACAGCAATAGAAATTAAAACAAACCAAAAAAATACAATAACAAAACACAAATATATAAGAAATGAAAGATTATGAAAAATTTGTGCATGTGACGTGGGCAATTGCACAGATAAATGATACATTAACAGATATTGCACCAAGTGGACATACATACACGTTACATATATACAACAATTGTGGAAATAAGTTGTGAACTTTAGTTGACTGTGGTGTTATAAAGTCTAATGGCAGACAGAATTAAGGCCCTGCGGAAGGCGTTCCTTCTTACCTGCTGGATGATGCATTTATTGCTGAATGAGCTGTAATAAAGAAACCTTATTACACTACAGTATAGGAGGAGAATAACTCACCTCCTCCAATCAATTAAAATAGGACTGGCCAGTAATTTGCTTTGCTATCACTCCTGTGCCTGAGTTGAACCATAATTCCCTCGTTTCTCAGCAGCAGCTACATACAGGATCATCTATGGTGCCCATAGTGCAGCGGTCAAGTATGTTTTTTTTTCCAAATTAATACAAATAAAACATCTTTGTTATAGCTGCCATACAATCATGGAGTCCATGTCCTATTTTTCACACACATTCTGTACACACTGCCTTCATTTTGTCTAATTTTTAGATATATGGTCATATAATAATCCTTCAACCAATCCATCTTCCAACCACTTACCCTGGTCAGGGATTTACACACTCACTTCTAAAAAGGCTACAAACATACAGAAGCTTGTGCACCCTATTACAGAGAATGCAGTTCAAGTGATTTGATTCCCCAGGTCACAAGTGGGATGTCAGAGGAAAATGTGTCTCAGGTAGCCATGCTGACTGAAAACATACCAACAAAGGAGAGACACCCAGAATTACAAAGTTCTCCATTAGCAGCAAAACTCTTATCAGTCGATTATGTTACCTGTTGTGGAGTTTTGAATGGTGATCTGGGGTATGTACAATTCAGGGACTTCACTCTAGACCAGGGGTGGAGAACCTGATCCATGAAGGGCCGGTGTGGGTTGCTGGGATGACCTCTCAATTAGCCAATAACAGTGGGTCCCAGGACTAGAGCCGAGAACCACTGCTTTATTATAGGCTGATTGCAAAATCAACCCAAAGACCCGCACCGCCCCTTCATGGATCAGGATCCCCACCCCTGGTCTAGACCAGAGGTGGGCAATCTTATCCGTATAGGGTTGGTGTGTATGCAGGTTTTCGCTGCAACTCCCTAATTAGGTCACTAATTAGAGGACTGATTGGCTGAAGAATCCTCGCACCTGGGTTTGAACAGCTGACCTACAGGTTATCCCAAAAACCTGCATACACACTGGCCCTTTGCGGATAAGATTGCCCATGCCTGGTCTAGACTGTCAGCAGACAGGCAGTATGAAGTCTGCAAGCATAGTTAATATGGTTGTGTATGATTCACATTTGTGGATTTGACTTCAAAAACTGCTCACAGGCCATCTGAGACTTACCAAAGCAATCTCAGCATGCACTGGGAAACATTTTTATAGACATTTGTTCAGCTCTTCACAGAGGTGGAAACCTGTCCTGATGAGGCACAAGTTATTCAGAAGAGTACTCGAGTTAAAACATTACACAAAAGTGATGCTCTGTTTTTATGAATCAGGTCCTGCTTGTACAATGCATCTGTAAATACAGACTTTTGTAAAACAGACTATTATAGTTTTTAAAAAGCACCAGTTACCAGAAATTGAAAAGGAAGTTTAAGGAAACAGTTGGAGAATGCAGGTAAAAAAAAATCTGCACCTGTCCATTTCAGCGTGAGAATATTGACTTTGTGCTTCGCGATGAGAACAAAAATGTACTCTTCTCCGCAATACTCATTTAACGAAACAACGTTCGCGCTAATCCTGCTTTCACCTTTCCACCACGCTGTGATCCCTTCCATAAGGCTTGTCACACACAAGGGAAACAACTTCACGCACTTCATTCCTATTCAGCAATTTTATTTTCTTATTCCAAGACAATTTTTCTTAAAAACCAGCATATTCACAATGTCCCGCTTCGTTTCAGTCTTTGTTAAAACAGTGCGGCTCCCGGCTCAGCTCTCCGACGGCGACGCTCTCTTGTGCACCGCCCGCAGCAGGGCTCGTTGGATCACTGGATACAGTTTGTGGCAGCCCTCCATGCAGGCCCGCACCGCCTCCGCCAGCGTGTCCTCCCGCATGTCCCCGTCAGCCTGCAAACCGGACACCTGGTTCAGGCTGGGGAGCAGCGCCACCGTCACGCTGCCCTGGGCGCCGGGCTCTCCCGCAGTTTCCTCTTGCAGCGTGGGATCGAGGAGGAAGGAATTCCCATCAAGCCGCAGCGAGCAGCCCAGCACCACGTCGTACATCTCGATCCCGGCGTCAGCCAGCGCCATGGACGCACACGTGATGGCGTGGGCCAGGGCTGAGCCGTCATTTTCCAAAACCAGTACGTTGACTTCGATCTGCGCCCGTGGATATCGGTGCAGGCGCACGCCCGGCCGCAGTGCCTCCAGCAGGCCCTGTGCCGTATCCTTATCTTCACTGCTCGGGATCCAGGCGCCTCTGTTCGGACAGGAAAATGGGGCAAAGCGGAGGTCGCAGAGCAGTCGGCCGGACGACGCGCCAGCCTCGTCCTTGCGCTCGGCCTCACGTGGCCCAAACACGGAGCAGATCAGCTTAGTGTTTCCCGCCTCGATGTAGGCCGAGCCTTTTGCCTGGCTGACCAAGCCGCAGCGTGCAAAGACCGGCCTCACGTCCGCCTGGCCCCGCCGCCGCCCGTCCTGCCGGCCGCGCTCCGCAGCTACGCTTTTCTTGGCAATACTAGGCAGGAACAGAAGCGGGGACTGCGACTCCTCCGGGCCGCGTACTCGCTTTGTATCTACCGGCATGATTGGAAAAAAGGAGGTGAAACAGGAAGTGGTTCTTTAAACCGGACGCGTTTAGACGTCGAATCAGTCCTGCAAAATCAGCTCTGTGCAGGCATGTCGCCCCCTACTGCCTCGTAGGACGCAACAATAAATGCAGCCAAGGAAAAAAAATTGAGACCACTCTATATCTTTTTAAACACATCTGTATTTAAAATCCTGATTTAATCGTGGTTCTCCTGGCAGAAGGCTACGCTGAGCAGCAGGTTGCTTCCAGGTTCAAAATTTCTAAGACAGCAGTACACAGGAATAAGGTGAAGCAGGAAACACTGGGAACGACCAGAAACCAGCCAGGTAAAGGGCAGAAGCAAGTTTCTAATGCCGGAGATGATCATTAACTTATCCGACAGTGTCTAATGAATCGGAGGATGACATCAAGTGACCTTCAACAAGAATGGGAAACATTAAGTGCAGGTGTGAAGTGCATTGCCAGGATAGTTCGTAACAGCCTCCTAGAAGCAGGACTGAAGTCCCATATTAAAAGCAAGGAAGTAGCCCTTCATTAATGAGAAGCAGGGAAGAGCCAGGCTGGAGTTTACAAAAAATAAAAGAAATGTATATTATTCACAGACGCACACCCATAAATCCAGAAAAGAGTGAAACAAAAAATTGATTGTGCTGTGGTCTCATTTTTTTCTGCGGCTGTATATATATGCACAACATACGTTTCTAATATTACACACATCATCTAAAAAGTGAGTCTTCAGGCTTTGTGTTAAAATTGAGAACTATTCATCTGTAGCCACATACCCAATGCAGGTAAGTTTGTGGATGGGAGGCTAGTTAACGGAGAATGATACACTACTGAAAATACAATATAAATTTCACTGACTCTAGGAAGTGGATATGAGACCTGTAAGGATTTATCAATGCATAAGCCAACTCTGTCTATCTTCTTTATTCTCTCTCTCTGCTCTGTTGTACAAGAACCTGGCAAGTACGTGTCTGAAGGCCAGTGAGTACAGGTACCAACTGTTGGACAGTAACATCCTGAGTCAAAACAGGTGAGAACACATACTACCTGTAGGTGGCAGTGGTCAGCAACTTTGCCCATAACAAACTGCAGAATTCATATTCTCAGAACAGCTTCGAGAGATCCATAAACAAAGCCCACTTTTCACAAACGTGTGGCACTCTGGAATGACTCATTCCCAGCAGAAAGGAGCAATGGGAAATTGAACTGTTGTTTGTTACTGGCGTAACTCTCCATGCAGTTCTTCTTTAATCATTGGTTTACAAGTAATAACCTCAGAACTGTCCATTTAGATATAGCTTTTATTGTTTCCATCAGGAGTCACTCAGAGAAACCATATATTTAAAATACAACATAAACATAAAAATGGTGGTATTGGTGGTGACTCTGCTCCCTTCAACTATTGGGAAGGGCATCACTACTGTGTGAATCAATTTTTGATCAGTAAACAGGCTGGGTACATCACTCACGATGCAGTGAATTCAGCAAAAATATTCATCTTTGGTAAGGACTATGTTAGTGAAGAAAGGAAAGATATATTTTTTTTAATGATGGGTGATTCATGGGTGATTTATTTTGGCCAGAACCCCCCCCCCCCCTTAGAAACCAGAATGGAATTTATGAGTCACAGTCACTGGTCACTGTGGTAATAATCATGTGACCAGCTGCAGCTGTAAAATGACAGCTGCCACACAGGGGGTCCTTGATGCACAAAGCAAAGCCGGTATGTTACCAGGTTTGAGCCCCAGGGTGGGACGAGATGATACCAACTAGATCAAGGCACTAGGATGTGTGTTAATGTGCAGACGCAGCTGGTCATTCACTTTTGTGGCTTATTTATGACACCCTGTAAAAGTGTACACAAGCATAAAAAAACACCAAATTTGCCAAATGTATTAACAATCATAAATAAAACTTTTTCTTTGCTTGCCAACCCCCCCCACCAGGGGAATTCAGTGCTGCCAGCAGGCGCAATGATGAGGACGATCACTCAGAGAAGGTCGATTTCAAACTCACATGGCATGGATGCATCAAACCAATAATACTGATCTGATTAGCTCCTTGTCAAAAGTGTCAGTACCCATCAGAAAGCAGCAGTTTAAATGTGTTTCTCAGAGCTTCATGGAGCCACCAGTAGCACCAAGGCATGCATGTGACTTTAGACTCAAGGATAATGGTCGTTCTCATAAAGAAGCTGTTACTCCTGAGGTTTTGTCTTTGTACTTCGGGGCATGATGGAACCACGTTTTGATACAGCCAATATTGGTGGACATCTGCCACTGGTACGCTTCACTTCAACACTAATGGCAAAATCATTTCTTGACATCCCATTAAACTGACAAAAAGACACACACCTGTTACTCAATGGGAACAACCCAAGTTGTTTAACCATGATTTGATATCAAAGGTATGCTAGGTAATTATTGCTGTTTCCTGGTATAACCAGTGTAAATCTGTTTATCCAGACATGTCTCAGTGCTTACTACTGCAAATAGCTGATCAGAGCACTATCCAATAAGAATGTTTTCATGTAAATAAAGAAAAGGACTACTCTAATCTACAGACAGCCAAGGAACAAATAACACCTAACTGCCTAAAGAAATCTTTTAAACGGGGAATATGATACATGCTAAAAAGGATGTAAAAAGATGTCAAATTCAACATGGTTATTATCACTGTTAGTTTTTGCTAGGTTGTCCTCGCACAGCAAGGGTGTAACAGGGCTCAGATGCACAGTCACCGCTGATGGCTGGTTACAGTATTAGCCAAGGAGGCAAAGTTTATCAGTTGCATAAAAGACAGTGTCCTCCCATGTTTGTCTGGGTATCAGTAAGCTTCTACTGCCCCTGATGTCCATCATCTTTTTACCCTTCTAATGGTGTAGATGTTTGTGATGAACCAGCAGAAGGCTGCAGTTACACAGTGGTGAAATTCAGCACATGTTCACCCAACAATGGTAGGATGTGTTTCTGAGAAGATCAGCAGTTCTCCTCTGTTTGTCTGCCTATTATTACCCTTGCATCTAAACATTAAAAAACTCTGTAATAAGACCATCTGTGGATAAATGAGGAGCATCACCATCATTTAGAGCTTCCTGCTGCCAGGGAACACAGTGATTTTTCCAGCCTTGGCCAGTAACTGGATGATTTGAGCCTCATAATCAGCATCATGGACACCTGTTCTGCGGAACTCTCCGGAGTAGCGGTTCTCCTCCCAGTAGTGGTGCCAATTCCCTCTTTGATCCACGCCAAAGCCAAACACATTCACCTGTACAAATGGATATGGGTACCTTCTGTGACTGACAGACAAACATTCTCCTGCTCAGACGGCATGCTAAAAACCTGATTCTCACCTCGTCACACACGTGTAGAGCGTAGAAAAGCACCAGCATGCCTGTGGAGGGGTAGCGGCCGTGGTGTCGGGTCCAGCGGTCGTGGATGTACTTAAAGAAGGCGGGGTTGTAGATCTGGACCTGGGAGAACAGGAAGTGGGTTGGGGGATGTGACACAAACCGATCAAAAGCGGACTGCAGGGAGTCAAAATATGGATCAAGCAGTCAACAAATTTTTTTGTTTCACTATTTCTGGTCAGAAAGCATCTGTTTTATCGGATGAGTACCTTGTTCTTGTCCACCTGCAGGAACTGCTTCACTGGAGCATAAGTGCTGCATGAAACATAGAGGAAAAACAAAAGAAAAGCCTTTGTAGGACGGGTGATAGCATTCATTACAAATGTACAAATCAGTATGTGTGTGTCTTCGAATGTACATGTCCTTCCATTAATCTCTGGGTGTCCAGTACACACAAGCTGATGTGGCCAGTCGACAGGGCACTGGTGATCCATAGGAGGTCCAGAGTCTTGAAGGGCACCAGTACGAAGCTGACGTTGGGATCCAGGTTGCGGGCACTCTCGGGGTACATGAAGTGGTGGGTGGTGCGACTGCCTGCCTCATTTTCATAGCCCGCAGTGGGAGCCAAATTCATCCTGGGGGGGGGAAAGGGCAGTGTTCTGGGCATGGCAATGTGGTCACATGCATATACGCTCTCTCCACCCTGCCCCCTAAGCCTTCCAAATATACTCACCTCATGACGAAGTCGTGCCCGTCGATTGTGTGGCCGTAGCCTGCCCCCAGTAGGTTGCCTGAGTTCCCCACCACGGCACAACGCAGGCAGCGGGAGGGGCGCCGCGGTCCAAAGGGGGAGTGGCCTGGAATCACCCTGAAGAGCCGCGACAGCACGTGTCGAAGGCCGTGAGGCTTGAACTGTGGCTGGAGCATCTGCAGGGGGTAGAAGAGAAGTCACGGTATATTTTATGCTGAAAACTATGTAAACATATATACAGTACAAACGCTACCCTGGATATGATCCATGATATGATATGGTCCATGTTACAATATTACAACCCAAACGATGGGTAAATGTTTTTCACTTTCAGTTCACATTATTCAATAAATTACATGAGATATTCAACATTTCATTATAAAATAGACTTTGTGTTAATGATTTTGCCCAACTGTAGGCTAATGTAAGTGTTTTAAGCATGTTTAAGGTAGGCTATAGGCTAGGCTATGATCTTTGTTAGGTTATGAGTACTGTATTGAAATCCATTTTTGCCTTATGATTGGTTTATCAGAAGGTAACCCCATTGTAACCTGGAGAGAGATTCTATACACACACAAACACACACACACTTGTCCAGGTCTTTCGTTTTTATTAGTAGAAATTACTGTCTGTGTGTGTGTGTGCATGGAGATCTATCCAATCCACTTACCGCCCACCAATAGTAAACATCGGCTGGCAATTCGATGTTCTCCTCGGTCCAGACAGGCAAGATGTCAGGATCAAAATTCTCATCAAACCAGCGGGATGCCCCCCGGTCTCCCACACAGTGGTGGCAGGAACAGGTCCGCAGAGCGGCGCCCTCTAGATGCTGAGGCTGCACACCTCTAGAATAGCTTGGCACTAGTTTGACTCGGCGTACCTCCTCCCAGCCGGCGGGGTCCATGTACAGCCTGCCCCCCCCACGCAGGGAGAAGAGCAGTGAGGTGAGAAAGATGAGAACCAATGATCCCACCAGAACCCAGAAGCGGGAGATGCGGCGTACGGCTCCTGTGGCGGCCCTGGCCCAAGCCCCCTGCTCCATACTGCCCCCTCCAGGTCCTTTGAGGCTGATGTCAGATGTGGGCTCTGGGGACACAGTATCTGTCCCAATATCCCTAGCCAAGACAAATCCAGTCCGGGCTGGATTTACCTGGAATCCCGTCTATCCATGTACTGGTCTCTCCCTCTATGTCTCCTCAGTTCCACCTGATCTAAGCTGATAGATCTACCTCTTGACTTGTGGAATTCCTTTCAACTCCTTCTAGATTCCAGGAGGAGGTGACGTCGAGCTGTCCCCGCTTGAACCCCTTCCGTGCTGGGGCTTCAGCCGTAGGGGTCAGCAGCCTCTATCCATGGAGGCCTGGGGGCATTTCCCACTGATGGGAAAACAGAAAACAAGAAATTATCAAAATCAAGAAGCAAGCAGAACAATGGAATGACCCCTGACCTTCTGTGACTCACAGCTCACAGCTCCTCATGTTGGCAGTGTTGGGGAGTAGCTAGTTTCATGAAACAGCATTCCATACTTAAATTACAAAATAAATGCTATTGTAATTTGTTACAGATACTGAGTAAAATATATAATTACTAATCTAATTGTTGGTGATTAGAAAGGGGTTACATTTGAATACATTCTTTTTTATTAAAAAGCTTATATTAAAATGTAACATTCATTTTGTTGCTTTGCATCTTTTCGCCATGCCAATACGCCTTCTTTGGCATATTTCCAGACAAAGCAGGTCAGCAAAGCCGTCTAAACAATGTGTCGCCCCGATTGTTATGTCAACCGCCGGGACAGGCAGGACAGGCGGAGCCGGCAAGACAGGCAGGTGGGCAGTGGACGAAGCCGCAGCAGGCAGGCGGTCGGCGGGCGAGGCCATAGCCGGAGCTGCCTCGGGCGGAGCAGCAGCCGCCTCGGGCATGGGCAGAGCTGCAGGCAATTTTTTCTTACTTTAAGAATTACTGTTTTTATAAATGTGCTTAGATGTGTTTAGTACAGTTATGCTTTGATTGTTTTGTCCAGTTCATTTTGTGTTTAAATGCTAAAAAAACATATTTCGGTGTAATGTTTTGGGGCCGGGAACCAATTAATTGGATTTCCATTATTTCTTTTGGGGAAAATTCGATCAGAACTTGAACTTTTTAGGATTCGATCCGGAGTTCTGAACTGATTAAATTCGAGTTCTGAGGTACCACTGTATACACAATTCATATTCAGTTTCTAATGGCACAAATATCAGCCCATACCTAATAATCGGTAACGTATTACAATTTAAAAGTAACCTTCCTAACACTGCTTGGTGGTCACACAACATCCACAGGCTGGTCTATAGATGGCTTAAGGTGATAAGGTATTGAAATACTGCACATTTTATTTCCTGCCCTCCGTTATCATCTCCATCCATCTTCTAATCCGGGTCAGGGTGGCCTGGGGGCCTGGAGCCTATTTCAGGTAGCACAGGACGTGTGGCTGGGATACACCCTGGATGGGATGCCTGTCCATCACATAACACATACATGCACACACTCAGTGTTACACCCACAACCATACTTTATGGGTAATTTATGATTCTAGCCTAACCGCATGCCTCTGATGACCTCGATTCACCAGAATAGCATGTTGCTAGGAGTATGTAAGACGCCAGCGGACCTGGGTGTACAAAGTGGTGCATGAAAACATGGGTTCCCAAACTTTTCAGCCTCGACCCCCAAAATACCAGCGAAAGTCTCAGGAACTCCATCTTTCCAACTCAACTGGGTTGGATAACAATTTAAAACGAATATATAAACATATTCTGCCAATCTTCTCATGACCCCCACTATGGAGTCAGAATAGTGCCATATACACTTGTATGTGTACTTTCCAATTTGCACCCGTAAAATGGTGCTATGCGAGCAATTTATCTGCAAAGCACTAGGCAAGTTAGTGCCAAAATTATATTTATGTGCACAAGTGTGAATTTGCACTCGCAGGTTTGTATTTGCAAGAGGACTTGGATTTGCAATACAGGTTTTGTACTTGAAAACCATTCTATCTTTGTAAAAAATATTTTTATGAAGATGTTTGGTTTCGCATTTACAAAAAATATTGATGTGTATTTGCAAAATGTTTTTCACGTTCAAAAATCTTCATATACAAGTACAGATCACGTGACGCGTATTTCTGTTCAGTATTTTGCGAACGAAAATTGTGTTCAGTGCGAGCAAATTTCATTTTACGGGTGCAAATTGGAAAGTACGCATACAAGTATAATTGGCACTATTCTGACTCCATACCCCACTTTGGGGATCTCTGCATGTAAATTATAAGTCATAATTTGTGGCAAGTTACACATTTTCTGCCTACCCATCGCACTTCACCTCTTTACCTGCTGGAAAGCTGCTAACGGACACGCATACTTCGCAGAACTAAGAGCTTGCTAACTGATATCGGTGTGGAACTACTAAGGCTGATGTGTTGAGCTTCTTTTGGGATTTGTCATATCAGCTATATCTGTACACACACACATATTTTTCAATATGAGTAACAGCTTCCCCATCCACCTAATATCATAACAGCCAAAAGGACGTTTTAAAACCGCCATCCATGCTGGTAAGTAATAGGGAGCCACCATTATACACTAGCTGCCTCTCTAATCGTGCACAGTTTCTGTAATAAATTGCTCCATTTTGGCATAGTTTATTTGCAGACGATAACGCTGCAAACAACTGAAAGGCACGCAGTGCCAACGCAATGCAAAAGCCGCTTTGACCGCCTGTCAATCCACCCGTATCACCATCATCAGTGCATAACGTATCCTCATCCGGCACTCTAATTCATGAGCTCTATTGCAATTAAATAATATCAGTTCTACAAAATGTATGGTTTATTCTCCTGCTGGATTATATTACGTCGCTGTGTAGCGCGCGGATGATATGCAATGCTAATCAAGCACTTTGCCGGGTTCGGTACAGATCTCCGCTGCCCAAATGCCAGATGCCAGAGGATGTAGCGCCTGCATGAGCATCGATGCAGTTATGAGACGGGCTCGTTACCCGGCCATGGACTCCAGCACACCTAACAGGAGCTAAGCCTAGCACGCACACACCGGGAGCCAGGGATCCCCCGCATAATTTACACCCAGAGCCCTTTCGAGCAGCTTGCCGAACGGTGCATCCCATACCTGCTGTAAACCGGGCTGATCGCTTCCCACGTTTGCGGCTCTTTCTCTCGCCACTTCGCCCCAGGTCTCTTCCAAGGAGGTTGGTACGACGGTACCAGCTACTCCAGGGGGGTTATCATGCTTCAGTAGATGTTTTATACCCACTAAACCCGGCGGCTGGCGATCGTGCATTGAGATGCGTAAGACCCGGGCTGTGCCATTCACCATCTCCTAGTATTGTTTCTCGATCTTCATATTAACTTCTCCCTTTGCAGGATTCCTAATTTCCTTATCTCAGGCAGAGCATCTGGTTTTTTGGAGCCCCCCCCGGTTAAAAGACCCTTCTCTAAACACATCCTTCTCCCGGGTCACTGCAGCCGCATAAGAGATACCGGCCATACCGCTCACAGAGCCAAAATACAGCCTTTAGGGAATTGTAGTTTCTTCAGTAAAATACATCCACGACAGTTAAGTAAGAAAATAACAGATTTACTAAACCTCAAGACTGCAGCGGGAGGCAGATTTACTCTGAGCGCAATACAGATTGCGGACACACTATACGTTAATAACTAAATGTGCACAGTGTGTGACATAAATATGTATCTACAATTGTATAGACTTACATGATAATTACATTTCGCCGACTGATGAGATGACGGAATTCACTGTGTCCCCAGTCTCCACAATGACCTGATATTCTAAATTTATCCTGGATGTAGGTCATTCTATTTATTTATTTATTTTTATTGTGTAATCCCACAGTAACCTTGATTAAACAATGGATTTTATTGTTATATTGAGCATATATTCAAAATGTAGTTTGGTATGCATCTATTCCCTGTGTTGCATTGGTGCCCTCTATCCGCTCAGACTCCTCCTGCATTTAGGGTAACTGGTGCCCTTATTTGTCCATAAAGTAGAATCAGAGGCAGGGCAGGCAATGGCCTGGGGCCCCGAGCCTGGAGGGGGCCCTCGAGGGAGGCCGATTACATGGCACAGTGCAACAACAAATCTGCTTTATGTGTGTATTCTGTCTTTCACAAAAGTGAAAATAAAGGTCTTGTGTTCATTTAATCCTCTTTGTTGATATTATAAACTTACACTTAACAGGAAAATAAAGGTAATAAATGTTTGCATGATGGGGGAGGGGGGGTTGGGGGGCCCATGGAGTTTTTTGCCTAGGGCCCCCCAGAGTCCCTAGAATTGCCTCTGAGTAGAAGTATGTGCACATGGTAATGTGGGTGTGTGTGTATGTGCCCTGTGATGGACTGGCATCCCACCTTGGGTGTGGCCCAGCCTTGTGCCCATGTTGCCTGGGATGCATTTACCCAGTACAGGGTCTCAGTAGGTCTCAGCGGCAAAGGTACACCATAGGGTGCCAGATAGATCCCATTGTTTGAAATAATGTTTTGAAGCTACTGATTTATCTGAAGTGGTAGAATACTGACAGCTATTACATTTATAAAAACAAGTAACCTGCACCTGAACAGGCAGGACTGTACAACAAGTCTTCTCCTTAGAGTGACGGATGCCCTCTACTGGGGATTCTGTATGTTAATGCTTCCTGTATTAATGTGCGGGAATCACGCCAACTCGGTCAATCGGTCCTTCTGTCCGTATGAGGAGGTTGAGCCATGTGATGCACAGGTTTGTATTTGTTTTCTCCAGCCTGTTCTGTGTTTGCCCTGGTGTGATATGGGTGTTTTTCTCCAGTCTACCCTTTTTCAGTGGGTCTTTCAGTCCCTGTTGAAATGGCAACTTTTTGTTTATCTTAGAGGGTTTCTTTGTTTTCCTGTTTTGGTTGTGTGGTTCACATCTCCCTGCTCCCTGAAAAGGGGAATTGCCCAAAAATAAAAGCCCATGTCCAGTTTCCCAGGCTACATGAGTCCTGAGCCGACTGTCCCACAGATTTTTATTGATTTTTCCCTTTTGTGGAAAGCACTGTAAGTGAAATGTATGAAAAGCATTCTATAAATAAAGCCAGGATACCGACAATGGCGGGTGCATCCTCCGGGGCTCCTCTCACCCCTCCCTCTGCCTGTTCTCGCCCCTACCATCTGGGAAACAATATGGCGGTTTGCAGGCTAACACCACCAGACTCAGGAATATTTTCTTCCCTCAGGCTGTCAGATGGTCAGACAAGGAATGACGATTCGCACATTGCTGCAGCAGATTCACCGTCATGCTTGTATAAGATTTGTGTTATCACTTGCATCACTGTCTTTCACTTTGTGTCCCATCATCTCCTGACTCGTTTGTACAGTTACAATGTACATTACAATTGCATATAACTATTTATTTACATTGTTTTTCTTCTTTGGAACCACCTCCACTCAAGTCACCCAATGAATGATTCTAAAATTAACTACAATTACAAGGTTATTGGTGTTAATCTGCTTTTTCATACTTGATTCTTTGCATGTTTATCCTTTTTATCAGTGTAAGAAATGGGTGGAATAAATAGTCAAAAGTTAACAAGAAAATGCTTTACTGTGTGATAAAACTCACTTTTTCAGATTACATACGTGTCCTTAACCACCACACTCTCGCCTGCTCTTTTAGCACGGGAAGCGTTGTGACAAAACTCAGGATATTGACATTACTCAAACCGCAAGTCTGGAAGGGTCAAATTTTCAGCAGCGGTACTTTATCTATGTGTGTCTGGAGTAGTGAGCCAAGTATTAGTAGTGAGTGTTTCAACAGTACAGCGAAATACAGAGAAACCGAAAAACAGTGCAATTTGATGCTTTTTTGATATCTTCATCATCTGATTACCAAAGACAGGTAAGCAACACCCAGTTTCCCTCTCTAAAATAGTAAATGCAGGAATGTTACTGGGACAAAGCCATCTAGCAATCGTTTAGTCCTTGAGGGCTATGCTGAAAATTTGTGGGTATAGTTATTTCAGATTTTGCAAAAACTGAATGGCGTCCAGATCTGGACTTTGACTAGACTAGTCCAAGACATCATTATGTCCATCCAGTGTACATCATTGTGTCCATCCAGTGTACATCATTGTGTCCATCCAGTGTACATCATTGTGTTCCTGACCATCATTTTTATTGTCTATCATTATTACAGTCATGCAGCTGTATTTCAGCCTGCACCCCCTGCATCACTCGTATAACTGGGCCCCTCTTCTGCATCTAGCTCTGACCTAGCAGTGGTAGTGCACTGGAAGTGTGGTTGAAGGAGAATTTCCCTTCCCACTTTAGCTTTCCCATTTTTGTGCAAAGCTGGCAGTTTGAGGTTGTCCTCCTCTCTCCCCAATCAGAGCCTGCTGTTTTCAGCCCCAGATGAACTGATCTGGGGACTTTCCGCAAACCATCACCTTATGTTTAAAGTCACCAGGTAAGAATGTTGTCACTTTAAAAAGGTTATTATGAAATTGCGCAACCATGTTCAGTGAGAGAATAGTCTCATATGAGTCTGCTGAGTCTCTTGTATATATTCATGTGTTTCATTATTACTGCTGCCTAAGGAAGTGGTGTGTTGGTAATACCAAAACTATTTTTAATTTCCCTGTATTTTTTATCACCATGTGAAATACTTTGACATTGGAAGGCTATATGGACAAAAGTACTGGGACACCTGGCCATTACACCTACAGAAAATGTTCATAACATCCCATTCTAAATCTAGAGAGATCAATATGGAGTTGGTTCCAACTCTGCAGCTATGACAGCTGCCACTCTTCTGGGAAGATTTTCCACAAGATCTTGGAATGCTGTGAAACTGCAAATTTCGGAAGTTTTGACCATTCATCCAGAACAGCACTTGTGAAATCAGGTAGTGATGGTAGGACGTGAAGGCCTGGCTCACAATCTCCATTCTAGTTCATCCCAAAAGTGCTGGATGGGGCCGAGGTCAGGGCTCTGTGCAGGTCAGTCAAGTTCTTCCACACCCAACTCAGCCATTATTCCTTCTCCCCCAAACTTTACAGCTGGCACAATGCAGTCAGGCCGGTAACGTTCTCCTGGCATCTGCCAAACCCAAACTCATCTATCAGACTGCCAGGTAAAGAAGCACGATTTGTCACTCCATAGAACATATTTCCACTGCTCCAGAGTCTAGTGGCGGCGTGCTTTACACCACTCCATCCAACGCTTGGCATTGCGCTTGGTGATGTGAGGCTTGCATGCAACTTCTAGGCCATGCAAGCCCATTCCATGAAGCTCCCAGCACTGGGGCTAATGCCAGGGGAAGTTTGGGACTCTGCAGTTATTGAGTCAACAGAGCAGAGCGTTCGTGACTTTTTTACATTATGCGGCTCAGCATTCAGGGACCCGGTCTGTTAATTTGTGGCTGAATTTCTGTTATTCTTAAACACTTCCTCTTTTCAATAACATCACTTACTGTTGACCATGGAATATCTAGCAGGGAGGAAATTTCACAAACTGATGTATTGCAAAGGTGACATCCTATCACAGTACAACACCTGAATTCACTGAGCTCTTCAGAATGACCCATTCTTTCGCAAATGTTTGTAAACCTGACTGCATGGCAAGGTGTTTCATTTTATACACCTGTGGCAATGGGTCTTAATGAAACACATGAATTCAGTGATTAAGTTGTGTCCTAATACGTTTGTCCATATAAGAACATAAGAACTATACAAACAAGAGGAGGCCATTCGGCCCATCGAGCTCACTTGGGGAGAACTTAACTAATAGCTCAGAGTTGTTAAAATCTTATCTAGCTCTGATTTAAAGGAACCCAAGGATTCAGCTTGCACTACATTAT